TCGTTAAGCAATACTAAATATTGACTGTTTGTATACAGTGTTGAAAGCTGTAAAATGCTGCAGTCTCATAAGAAGAATAAAAAAAAACACCAAAATTCTTTTCACATTTCTTTTCTGGAGTTACAGCAGTATTTTTTATGTCACGTGAAAATCCATGTATGTCAGAATGCAAAATCTGCTGTGTGGATTACCAGTAGTTTCAATTTAGAGGATTAAAATAAAACTGCTAAAATGTCACAGAATACATGTAGAATAATATGATAGAGATATCCAGTGAACTGAATGATGTGATGTTAACAATTCCAGGATGTAGAAAATAAGATGAGTATTTTAAGTTAGACAGTCAGAGTTAATGGCCGGGCACTGATGTCAGGACTTGCTGGGGGAAGGCCATGGGAACTGACCTGGGTCAGATCTACTACTGAGAGGGGATGCATGTATTGAAGAAAAGATCAGGGGCTGGGTGAAGGTATTTAACTTCAGGTTATCAAAGCAAGATGATAATTTTAAAGACTTAAAAAATACAAATTCTGTCATCTTTGAACACCTAGAGGTGTGGTTACTGCTTTGTTCTCACTGCGCTTCTCTTCTAACTGAGCATTCAAACTTCTTCTGGTTTCTTATCCTCAAATAATGATTGTGTGAGTTGACTGAAAAACTCCACAATGTTGCTTAAGATCTTAACAAATTCTCAGCCATAGCAGGGGAACAAATCCTTTCTCCTTACTGTGTTTCCAGGATCCATGTCCTTCCTCCTTTTATGCATAGGTGTCCTGATTTCCTGTGTTAGCTGTGAAATACTTAAATGTTGCTGGACATTGAACATCACTGTAGAATCAACACATCCTTGAAATACCACACAACTCTATCAGCAACTGCTGTGCTATTATGAAAAGAAAAATATGCAAGTTACTTCTCAAATTTGTCAAATGCCTATTTTGTTATCAGCTAAAATATATTACTGTTCTTTTTCATTATTATTTTTCACTGAGAATACTTAATGCAGTAGACTTCAATTATAATCATTTGGGTAAAAATTACAGAATTAAGAAATGTAGGATTAGAATCTCTTTTCATAGAAAATGTCTTTTTGTCTGTAAGCAGTTATTTTCTTGCGCTGCCACTGGAAGTTCCCCAACAATCTGTGCCTGAATTTCTGAAAGGAATAATCCCATCATGATGATTCCCATATGTTTTGTAAAGAGGAAAAATAGCTGTCTGTACTCAATTTGCTTGAAAAATATGCGTTCAAAATATTTCTTATATATTTATAGTGGACACAGATACAACATATCTTAATGTCTTGTACATAAGTACTTCTTTCATTTGATGGCCATTTTCATGTTTTAAGCCTTTTTGAGATACAATTCTGTTAAAATCTTAGCTGACGTGTTTTCTTTCCTGCTTTCTTATGACACTTCAGTGGTTTGGGACCTGAATTCTAATACCTCTCTAAATCTGATTTATTTTGTTGTTTTATTTTTGAAGTCCACGGTTACCTCAAGGCTGCTAGGATGTTCAGAATGAAAAAGAAGCGAGGAATGTTCAGTCTGTTTTACAAACCTGGCAGCACCATGACGTGAACTGTTCTCTGTGTGCTCTCATGGGAGATTCCTGGTCTGAGGAGTCTCCAATCTTTGTAAAAATACCACAGCCAGCTCCTTTGCCGTGTTCCCTTAGAGAATCTGAGAACATAGGAAAATTGTGCTTAATGTCCTCAGAATTCCTTCCTTAGTATCTGCCTATGGGAGATGTCATACTGGAAGCCACCCATTGTAGATTATACTAATTGCTCTGAATTCCCTGACTATTTAGATGCCACAATGATGTTACTGATTTTACCAGTGTTGTCAGTCCCATCTGCAGAAAATGTTTTCATGTTATACTCCCATCAAGCTGTGCAATAGCTAACTCCATCATCATTTTCCTTGGCACCCCTGTTTGTGGATGCAGAGAGAACTGCAGTATCTAGGAGATGCTTGTGAGATCCCTAAGGGAAGTGCTAATTCCTTAATGGCTATCACAATTCATTCCAGTGAAATACTGCTTGCGTTTTGTGATGCTGTTCTCAGACAAAACAACATTTCTACTCTGACAAATAGACTAGATTTTCCTTAAAGTGTTTATGAAAGAGGAAGAGAGCTGTTACAGTGTCATGTAGGCTGTCTTTCCAGCCCCACAGTATTTTGGCAATAAATACATGAGTAGGAGAGAGATGAAGCTGTGAAATTGAATCATGATATTTCAACAGATGGTCATAAGAATCCTAAACATGAACTGAGTGCATTGCATGTTTTACATGACTCTGAAAAGGATTTACACATTCAGGTTTTACCTTAAAAGGAAATAGCTTTGCTAATGTAGATCTGTACTACATTAATTTTCAAAGATACAGTATCTCCATTGCACTCTAAGGTAGATTATTAGTTATTCTGAGCAGGAGGCATGTAAAAAATGATGAAAGGGAATAGGCTTCTATTGAATTTATCAGAATAAGTTGATCAATTGTATGTGAAAAGGGAGGTTGGAAATATAAGTATGTTCTACATCCTTGCCATGACAGGCTATGGAATATTTATTATAAATGGAGACATAAAGCAGGAATAATCTTCCCCATGACCTCACTATGACAAACTGGCTTCCTAATTCTTGCTGAGTGCTGATTATTACTTGGCTAACGCTCTCAGCTGAAGATGAAGCATGTGCTAAGTTGCAGGAATTCTTACAAGTAGGCTGAGCTATTTTCAGAAGGGCAATTTTAAGGACACGTTCTTGTTTTTACTTGCAAGATTATTTGTTTCTTAAAGCAATACAAGCAGATCCACATACATGGAAAACCATCAGGCAAACAATATGAATGCAATTGCTCACTTAAGTATTCTATTTTGTGCTTTCAATGAAGTAGACTTGCAAAGGGGGGGTAGAGAGCTTGGTGACATGCTGTGAAAGGCTTCCTCCTTAAACACTTTTTTTTGAAGGTATATATCAGAAGAACAGGTGAAACATTAATAAACTTGCTTCCATTTGTAGCAACTTGAATAGAATGCTCCCAGCTAAGGATGCTCAGAAAGAAGTGGATATAGTATGAAAGAGCAGAATGAAGCTGTACCTTACTGAGTTTTGTCACTTGCTGGAAAGTTTTGAAATATATTTGTGTACTCATAAAAGGAAGGAAAGGTACAGCTTCTTGTAGCAATTTTGCCACCTGCTTTCAGATCTCTGGAGAAGAGCTACTACGAAATGGCAGGATTAATGCTACTAGTCATGATTTTCCACTTAAATAAGCATTGTGCTATTCATTGTGTAAGAAAAACATGGTTTTACCACTACTTGAATTCAGACAAAACTACTTCTGGGCTGTGCTTTGGCAGTGGTAGGCCTTAAGCAAAAGCTGACCAGATCTTTTTGGACAAACCTAGGCCATCTCCTCTCCAATCCTGTAACTGTAGCTTAGCCAACCATTCCATTGTGCAGATAGCAATGTAACTAAAACTTTGAACTGTTTAGGTTTAACCTGGACATGCGATTTTAATCAAGTGTACTTGAGCAGTTGTCTTGTTGCTCCATTCTCCAGGATGTGCTGTTGCCAATCTAGCACCAACTTTTGATCGTTTCCTCTTATGTTTACACAGCAGTGAGTGGCAGACATGAGCTCACTCTTCCCGTGTTTTCAGAGCCTTGTAATGGTAATCTCTCTGCAATTATGTTCCACAGATCTCTTGATATATAGATATAGGGACAAGGTGAAAAGTGCTCAGGTTTTGCTGATGCTGAGTAGCAGAATTGCACTCTGCTGGGTATGACTGTTTTAGCATTTCTGTTAATAACATCCATGAAATATATATAGCAAGGGCTGATCGTTTCATTATGATTTAAACACCTATAATTTGCTTTTAAAATTTTTCCCACATGACTTAAGAGTTTCTCTAAACAACTGATTCTACCATCTCACCATGCAGTCTGCTTCTATGACACAGCACTTCTGTTCCAAAATTAAGACCGCTAGGGGAGATCAGTGGAAGGAACTGTCTCACAAGGACAGTGTAAGACATCAAACGGTATGAGTAGGCACCTTTTAAGTTCTGGATGAGCTGTGGGAAGTTTTTGCTTGTATAAAGTGGCAGAGCAACAGCATTGAACAGACTGTTGAATGAATGAAAGTCCTGAAACAGAATTTCAAGCTATGCTATGTCTTATAGGTTCAGAAGCTGTTCACATTTTTGTTGCTACAGGCTTAAATTCTGTGATGTCTTATGGCTATTGTCAGTGCCACAGAGGGTAATTCCAATCACAAGATTATGTCAGAACAAAAGGTCACAGAGGGGAAAAAAAAAAAGTAACATCTGAATGAGTGTTCATAAGAGAGATGTTCTCTGTATCAGATATCTATAAACATGCAGAGCTCATCCACTTTGCAAGAGCAGAGGTCAAATACTTGCAAAAAGTGATCTCTAAACATGATGGGAGCACAGAGAAAATGCTCAGGGAAATTCAAGTATTCAGAAAGATTGCTTTTAGGGTTTGTCACTGAAAAGATGTTAACTACGTAATGTAGAAGTAAGTGCCATACAAATATTACCTAAAAGAAGAACATAGAACTTTTACAGATGTAACAAAAAAGAAATATATTTTACACTTTTACAAGTGTTAAGAAGTATTAGCTGCTATGTAGTCTGATAGCGATAAATTTTACACTTCAGGTGAGCTGCATGAAAGCAAGAATGTGTTATTTATGTAAATAGAAAACTCAGTACCATCATGGCTTCAGGGCTAATAGTGATTGTTAAGGTTCAAGTACTTTTGTAACTACAATCATTGGTATAATGCTGCCTTAAAACAGTAGTAGGTAGCTATTTCCTTGCCTATGTGTACAAATACTTAAGATCAGGAAAGGAAATCACACAAGAATAAACTACAGGACTTTGTAAGCTATGATAATTCTATTGTACTGAAGCAGATGAAATAGCTGCGTTATATGTAAACATCTACTTATGTTCCAGTTGCTGGGCTGATGGCAGATCTGGTTGCATCTGTGGGAGGACAACGGGACTGTAAGTCACAGAATTATAGAATATCCTGTATTGGAAGGGACCCACATGGGTCATTGAGTCCAACTCCTTGCTCTCTACAGGACTACTCAACATTCAAACCCCCCGTCTGCGAGCTTCTTGAACTGCAGCAACTTGGTGCTATGCTTGCTGTCCCAGGGAGCTGGTTCCATGCCCACCATCCTCTGGCGAAGAATATTTCTCTAGCACCCATCTGACCCTACCCTAATGCTGCTTCATGACTCTCCACCTGTCAGCGAGATGTAGGGCCACCATAAGTCACCCCCTCAAACCAAGGGACCTCAGCCATTTTTCATTTGTGTTGTCCTCTAGATCCTTTGCCATCTTTGTGACCCTCCTTTGGATGCTCTCCAATAGTCTTATATCATTAAGTCTTCCTGAAATAAATACGTGTACATTATCTCTCCTCCTTCATAGATTTTGTATGGAACCTTTGTGCAACTTCTACAGAGAAGTATGCCATATGTGCAGGCTAGCTCTTCTTGAGACATTTTAAAAAAAAAAAAAAAAAGAAAGAAAGAAATCAAATGACACCAGCCCTACACATATGGTAGTGTTAGAACTGGAGCTCTGAGGGCTGGATGACAGTAAATTTCTAAGGAACGGAGTGGAAATTGGGATAGAAAAGCAGAAACCAGTGTGGAAAGGAAATGAGGCCCGGACAACAGCATGAGATCTCAGTGTGATTGTGCATTTTGAAGTGAGCTGAGCCATGTGAGGAGTGCAGGAAGATTTTTGAGTGAGACCTAATTAAAATCATCTGGCCCTCATGAGGGAGATGTCTTTTTCTTTGCAATTATTGTGTGTGTGTGTGAAGGGTATTTAATTAGGCATGTAGAACTGGTGTTTGAGAGGGATTCAAAGTATGCTATTTTTAATATATTCTTATACTGTTGGATTTGTGGATTACAAATAAGTCTGCAAGAAGAAAGAAACTTATTTTTAAGCTCCAGCAATGGTTTAGGACTGACACAATCTACAGCTATAGTAGTTCTCTGCATCTGATTTTTGGGAGATAGCAAGTGTCTAAGTAGAAACTATACAGCATCCAAGCAGATTGTAATCCACAGTGTTTGTTACTTCTTTGACCTACTCACCTACATACAGTTAGTTTGTGGCTTATAAATGTTAAACTTTGGAGAATTGTGATTTTTTTTTTTTAATAATATTTTCCATTAGTGTCTTAATGTTTTATTTCAGCTGAATTTCTTCTTTTCATTTTCTTTTCAGTGATCACAGTTATAAAAGATACCATCTGGGAGCTTTTTCTTTGTAAGTGGTCTTCATAGTAAGAGGTAATTTAACAAGCAGTGGTTAATATGAATCACTGGACTGATGAGGTGCAAGCTCTGGCTGCTTTGCTAAAAATCCACACATTCTGCATCTTCCTAACATGAGGATGAAATTGCATATTCTGCCTTTGTGGACATCTGGAGATATGAAGCCATAAGTATGGAACTTTGTGGTGATCTCCCTGGAATAACTTTGCAGAGGCAAACTCAGAAATCATACCTGAATATTTTTCTGTGAACATTTATGGCTGTCTGTCAGGGGGCATTAGTTGGGTTTTTTTTTTCTGTCACAGGGATGGAATTTAGTGTGTAGTACTAAGTACACTTACAGCAGTAAATGTAGATGCTATTCTTTGTATGAGCAGTAGTCATATGTTCTCTTGTATTACTTAAGGCTTTATGTTACTTTCACAGTGTTTAAGTTTTGGTAGCAGAAGTGTTTCCTTGAACATGTATGCCAGTGATGCATGCTCTCTGTCCAAATTCTCAATTGCAAACCTAAGACTCTGCACTTTGACTCCTTTTTTTTTTTTTTTTTTTTTTTTTGTTATGTGGTGTAAAGCTTTTCTATCAGTAGAAGTCTTTTGGTTTAGAAATAGGTATATAACATATAAGTGAGATGAAAAAACATGTACAGACACACATACACACTTGTTCCTAAACACTTTTGAAATTCACTTAGCCTTGATATCTTTTTTTAATACTTAAGCTTCTACCCAAACATTAATTTATAGAATTGCTAGGTAATAAGGAATCTTCTCACAGCTGTTCAGTAATTCAAGAGCCTTTCTCTGCTACAGCATTTACTATGAGGATAAAAACCTGTGAAGCTCACTGCTAATTTTAGCACTGTAACTGTAGAGTAACTCCAATCTCCCACAGTTCACTGAATTTTCTTCCAGCTTTTGATTCCTCACTAAGCTCACTAGGTGGCTGTCTAGGAACACATATATTTTCTTCACTTGCTGAAATATAATTCTTTCACTGCCATGCCATTTTCTGATCTCACACTGGAGAGCACCCTCACATCAGCCATGGCAGGTACCAGCTGCAAGGTCTGGGCTGAAAGAACCCCTTCTCCATGAGTATTGGACATCAAATGTCTCTAATTAAAACCACTTTCAGCCTCCAAGACCATGAGAAAGTCTGAAGTGCAGAATTAAGTATTTATATGAACTAAGTCTGAGCCTCACTTGAACAACTTCCTTGCAACACCAATTTTTCAGATTCTAGGTGTTATTCATACAAGTAAAATCAGGGAATAAGAAATGTTATGCATGACTAAAGATATGTTGTTCTTCCAGGAAGCTAGAGGTGAGGCAAAGCAGCTTCCAGAAGCTGTAAGTTGTAAAAGCATAGATTCAGGAAAGAAAAAAAAAAAAGTGTGCTGTTCATTTAACATTCTTCACGTTGTGAATCATCTAGATTGGATGGGACTTTCAAGATCATCATGTACATCCATCAAGCTGACCTACAGAGTCCCATCTGTAAGCCATGTCCCTTAGTGCCACGTCCACATCTCTTAAATACCTCTGCAACTGGGGACTCTGCCACCTTGCTGGGCAACCTTTTCCAATTCCTAACCCACCTTTCCATGAAGAAATTCTTTCTAATATCCTATCTAAACCTCCCAAGCACAACTTGAGATTATTTCCTCATGTCCAATGGCCCCTTGCTGCAGCCTCCCTTCAGATCATTGTAGAAAGCAATGAGCAGTCCTCTGAGCCTCCTCTTCTCCAGGCTAAACTGGCCAATCCCTCCCGCCACTCCTCAGAACTTTTATTTTCTAGTACCTTCCCTAACTTTGCTGCTCTCTGTGTGTGCCTGTGCAACGCATTATCCTTTTTGTAGTGACAGACTCAAAGCTGCAGTGTTTGAGATGTGATTACACCAGTGCCATGTGTAAACGGGCAGTCACTTCCCCAGTCCTGCTGGCCTGCTTTTTTGGCCACCTGGGCACACTGCTGGCTTGCGTTTAACCTGCTGCTGACCAGCATCCCCCTGGTCCCGTTCTGCTGGCCACCTTTCTAGCCACTCTTCTCCAGGCCTGTACCACTGCATCCAGTATTACTTTATTGCCAGCTGTCCTTACTACCAGATGTCATCTGAGTTTGGCTTGTATGTGCTGATTTTGTATGGTTATGAATCCTTTGACTTATGGGAAATTACATCTGATTGAGATGAAAATTGGACCCAAGGCTCAGACTGAGCTGAACTTTGGACATGTATCTCTGTTTTCCAGAGCTTTTCTTTGGAAATCCTGACTTATGAAGGAAAATATGCACAGATCTCTCTCTAGTCAATGTGTCATCCTATTGTCTTCAATACTGCAGAATATAAAGCACAGAATAAGACCACACAAGACTGCATCTCTCTAGGGCATATCTGAATCTTTCTTGCATGGTCTGTGTAACTCTGTATTGCCCCAGAAAAATGAGATATGGAATAAGCAGTATCTTGTCTTTGCCTTGGTGTAATTGCAGCAAAGCTGATTCAGCACATGGCTGGGAATGATATCAATTGTGTATGCATGGGTAGGGAGAATAGTAGGGAACATTAATGTTATCTGTAATTGATCAGTTTTTTCCCATCATTGTATTTTCAACAGGATACTTGTCCCATAAAACAATAATTTTTCTTTTAGCGTAGTCTTGTTGAAAATCTTAAATTTACCTGACACTTCAACAATATTCAAGTGGAAAAATTGAAACTAGATACTTTAGGCTGGGGCCTGGGTCAACTCTATATCTTCCGGAAAATCTTCAACTGTGAAATAGTTTGTTTCCTGTCATCAGGACGCGAAATGCTGATGTACAGCTCACCAGTGCCTTCTGAGAGTTGTAATTCACTTGTTTGCTGCCCAGCTCTCATATTTTTGGCACCTTGCAAATATATGATACCTTTTCTGCATGAAGATAAATGCGTAGTTTTAAGCCTTCATTTACCATAAATCTTAATTTGCATATTGCAAGTTTAGCTGAAATAATAACAAATTGCTGAAGTGTTTTTGCATGGCCATCAGGAGAATAGAAAGCTAGTGTTCTTGGCTGAATATCTGCAGGATTAACATGAAATGCTAAAACATGATACTGGAGCTGATCAAGCCATGCAGCCTACACCTGAGGGGAATTTTTCTCATGGAATTCATAAAACTGTCCTTATTTCTCTTGATTAGATGTGACTGTTAAGTTTTAAATAGAAAGCAGCAACTTATACATGAACAGCAGTGGGAGCCTTACTGTTCCAAAGCCATAACTTGTAATCAGCATAGTTCCCTGTCAGAGCGGATTATCCTAAGACACTTCACAACCAGCTCTGCTCCCACCTCCCCCATGGCTTCAAGGGAGAGAAAAACAGGAGAGAAGCAGCGAAGAAAGGGGATGTAATTGTCTGAGAGAGACGGAGCTATGTGCCAAAATGTCTGAAGGTCTCAGGACTGTATGTTTCTCACATTATTGCTACTTTATTTTTAATCAGCTGCTGTTTTCAAAAAGACAAATACACTGTCTGTCTCCCTCATATATGTAGTTAGTATGCTGCAGTAATACAGTTTGGAAGCTGAGGTGTAAACTTTGCTTTCAAAGAGTTCTTTGGTAGTTGCTGGCTGGGATCCATCCAGTAGGCACAAGGTTCAGAAGGTTAATGAGAAGATCAGGGAAGAGCATTTACAAAAGCCACCATCAAGAATAACCCAGTTCTTGAAGTACTCTGTCCTTGAGCAAAGTGTGACTGTGTCATCTAGGAAGCTTTCTTTACTTTGGTTATTTCCTGAACAAGAACAGATAGCATATACAGAATAGTAATTTTTCTTTTCTTTCTTTTTTTAAACTTAATTTAGTTCCTCATATAAGCAAAAAGAACTAGCCTGGAAGGTTAATACTATCTATACTGTATATACATAGATAAGAACAGTTGGGTGGCAGATCATAAAATCTGCCTTGGTAAGGGAATCTCTATTCTGACCTAAAAGCAAACTAAGACATGATCTCTCATCAGAACAGTACTTTACCAGTGTCAGTAAGAGGGCTCCATTGCACTTGGTTTCATGCAGATGTGAGATACTAGCTGTGATCACCCCAAATAAAAATTATTTAACCAAGCTAATTGA